CTCAGGCCGGGCCTGGGCAGTGTGTACAGACTGAGCCCAGCTGGGCCTAGCTTTGCAATGGGACGCTGCCCCCGCTCAGGCCGGGCCTGGGCAGTGTGTACAGACTGAGCCCAGCTGGGCCTAGCTTTGCAATGGGACACAGGCCCCACTCAGGCCGGGCCTGGGCAGTGTGTACAGACTGAGCCCAGCTGGGCCTAGCTTTGCAATGGGACACAGGCCCCACTCAGGCCGGGCCTGGGCAGTGTGTACAGACTGAGCCCAGCTGGGCCTAGCTTTGCAATGGGACACAGGCCCCACTCAGGCCGGGCCTGGGCAGTGTGTACAGACTGAGCCCAGCTGGGCCTAGCTTTGCAATGGGACACAGGCCCCACTCAGGCCGGGCCTGGGCAGTGTGTACAGACTGAGCCCAGCTGGGCCTAGCTTTGCAATGGGACACAGGCCCCACTCAGGCCGGGCCTGGGCAGTGTGTACAGACTGAGCCCAGCTGGGCCTAGCTTTGCAATGGGACACAGGCCCCACTCAGGCCGGGCCTGGGCAGTGTGTACAGACTGAGCCCAGCTGGGCCTAGCTTTGCAATGGGACACAGGCCCCACTCAGGCCGGGCCTGGGCAGTGTGTACAGACTGAGCCCAGCTGGGCCTAGCTTTGCAATGGGACACAGGCCCCACTCAGGCCGGGCCTGGGCAGTGTGTACAGACTGAGCCCAGCTGGGCCTAGCTTTGCAATGGGACACAGGCCCCACTCAGGCCGGGCCTGGGCAGTGTGTACAGACTGAGCCCAGCTGGGCCTAGCTTTGCAATGGGACACAGGCCCCACTCAGGCCGGGCCTGGGCAGTGTGTACAGACTGAGTCCAGGTGGACCCTGGAGCCCGTGTGCTTTGCTCCTTGCCCCCTGGCTGGGAGTTATCAGCCGCCAGGAGGAAGAGCCATTTTTGTGTTAATTAGTAATGACAGGACCTGATGAAAGGAATTCTGGGAGCAGAATACACAGAGCCCTGTGTAGCCAGTGAACGCCGAGTGCAGAGAAAGTGAGCGGGGGGGAAGGGGGTTCACACTCACTGGCCCTCTGGCTTCAGCCCCCTCACCACTCTAGGGTGCTGCCGGAGGGGATGCCCCCCCCAAAAGTAAAATGGGCTCGGGTCAGGTGCTCCCAAATCATGAGAGAGGCTCAGACATCACCAACGCGTAGTTCCAGCCATTTGCCGTCTGACCTGGGGAGTCACTTGGGTCCCAGTTTGAAACCTGCCCAGCGCGCTAGACAGTTCCTGGCTCCGAAAGGGAAGCGGCGAGTCTCACAAAGCCTTCCCCCGGAGCTGGGTCTCCTAGTGGCCACACACACGTCGGTAACACCGGTGGGAACTGAGGCGAACGTTTGACCGTCCCTGGGCTGGGATAGTTCCGTCGGGTTGGGCGGTTGGGTGGGGCATGGTGCTGGGTGGGGCTGGCGGCCTGGGGCGCACAGGTCAGACGGGTGGGCTGGTGCTCCTTTGGGGCCTTCAAAGTCTGGAACAACTCTCGCCTCCCGCCCAGCTGGGAGCCAAGGCAGAGGCTCGCTAGCAGCTCCTTTTTTTGGGGGGGGCGCGGTTTTGGAGAGAGCGCCCAGGGCCCCTTTTGCTGGCCGCTAGCAGCTCCTTTTTGTGGGGCGGCAGCTGTTTGGAAGAAGGCTCCAAGGGCCATGCCAAGCAGCAGGTTTCAAGCCTGGTTCGAGCTGGCACGATTGAAGCTGCCAGCAGCTTTGTGCACAGAGCTTGTGTTAGTCCATGCCTAGCACACACCGGCAGAGCCAAACCTGGGCCTCCAGCAACTTCCCACTTGAGCTACAAGCCAGCTGAGGCTCAGGGGAGGCTGCAAAGCAGACTCAGTCTCTCGCTCTGTACGTGGGCTAGGTGCCACTGCAAGAGACAGCACACCCAGACGATGTGGGTTACACCAGCTATAGACAGGCCCCCAGAGCAGGGTCCCAGAAGGCCTCCAGTGGGGGAGGGGGAAGCTGGGGGGTCAGTCACCTCTTGCTCTGTTGATCTCTGACCTTCTGTTTGTTTTCTCCCTGCACTGGGGCAGGCTGAGCAAACAGTGAGTTCCTGGGACGGGAGGCTGCAGAGCCTCAGCCTGCCCAAGCAGCCAGACCAGGTCAGCTCTCCCCGCCGTGCACCATGAGGCTGCTGGTCCCAGCACTGCTGCTGGGTTTGCTCCGTGGGGCTTTGGCAGCTGAAGGTGAGTCTCTGCTCATCCCGCTGCTGGACGCCCTGCTGGATGCTTCAGTTCAGGGTGTCCCTAGCTCCCACTTGCAGCTAGCGTAGGGAGACAGTGGCTGGATCTGCTGGGCTTTTGGGGGCAAGGGGCCCGGGAGAAAGCAGCAGGTGAGTTCCCTGCTGGGGTCCTGGCTGCGGTGGCTCTGCAGAATCTCTCCAGTAGCAGCCGGCTGCTGCCCCCACAGACCTGCATTGGTCACCCATCACAGGCCCTGGGGGAGGGGGTGCTAGCAGTCAGCCCCCCTCATCTTCTGAGAAGCACACTGACGAGCGGGGAGGCCGAGGGGCTGGGCGCCTGGGCGAGGGCTGAAAACGGCCCTGGCCTCTTTGCACCAGCATGCAGCCAGCACTAGCAGTCGGGGCTGCTGGCGCCTTGGCTCATTTCTGGTGTGGAGGGGTCGCTGTGCTCACTGCCCTTTCAGAGTCGTGCGTCGGCCACTGCGAGGACGGCTTCGATGCCCAGAGGAAGTGCCAGTGTGACGCCCTCTGCACCTACTACCAGAGCTGCTGCAGTGACTATGTCAGCGCCTGCAAGCCAAAAGGTACCTGTCCCCTGCAGACCCCCAGGCCTAGCCCCCACCCCGCACCAGGGAACAGGCACAAGCAAGGTTCCCTGTGAGCTGGCACTAGGGCGGCAGCCCCGGAGAGATACAGGTGCTGCCCAGCTGATTTGCAGCACATCCACAGTGCACACAGCTGGCAGCAGCTGTTTCTACTGTTGGTGCACATCGTCAGGTGCCTTGGTGCACATAAAATGTATTCCGCACATGGGGAGAAAACATTAGAGGGAAAATTGGACACAAGTCAAGCCCTGTTGCCTGGCTGGTAGCAGAAAGGTGCCGGACTGGGTACAGGGTTTGGGGGAGTCACCAGGCCCTGCACCCCCATCCGCAGCCAGACGTGACACTCAGCCGGCAAGCAGAACAGAAGGGTTATTGGGTCCCAGGGACACAGCGAAGCACAGGATCGATGTTAACACAGAGACCCAGAGCAGGCGGCCTTATTCCTCTTGGGGGAAAGGGGTCCCGGGCCCTTGCTCCCCCTTTCCTGCCCTAAGCCCCGTCTCAGATCCTAGCCCCACCAAGACTGCCCCTTCCCCCAGGCCCTCGTCCCCAGCCTGGTGTCAGCCCAGCCTACCCTTTGTCTCCCTTCCTGGGCAGAAATTGTTATCTCCCCTGCCTAACCCTCTGGTTTTAGAGGTGTAATACACTTCTACAGTGAGTCACCCCCTCCTCCAGACAGTGCTGCCCTGCCCAGAACAGCAGGAACCACACAAAGCAACACGGCAACATGATCCCCGCTACACGATCCCCCCTACGCCCTGTCTCAGAGACACGATCGCCGCTACGCCCTGTCTCAGAGACACGATCGCCGCTACGCCCTGTCTCAGAGACACGATCGCCGCTACGCCCTGTCTCAGAGACACGATCGCCGCTACGCCCTGTCTCAGAGACACGATCGCCGCTACGCCCTGTCTCAGAGACACGATCGCCGCTACGCCCTGTCTCAGAGACACGATCGCCGCTACGCCCTGTCTCAGAGACACGATCGCCGCTACGCCCTGTCTCAGAGACACGATCGCCGCTACGCCCTGTCTCAGAGACACGATCGCCGCTACGCCCTGTCTCAGAGACACGATCGCCGCTACGCCCTGTCTCAGAGACACGATCGCCGCTACGCCCTGTCTCAGAGACACGATCGCCGCTACGCCCTGTCTCAGAGACACGATCGCCGCTACGCCCTGTCTCAGAGACACGATCGCCGCTACGCCCTGTCTCAGAGACACGATCGCCGCTACGCCCTGTCTCAGAGACACGATCGCCGCTACGCCCTGTCTCAGAGACACGATCGCCGCTACGCCCTGTCTCAGAGACACGATCGCCGCTACGCCCTGTCTCAGAGACACGATCGCCGCTACGCCCTGTCTCAGAGACACGATCGCCGCTACGCCCTGTCTCAGAGACACGATCGCCGCTACGCCCTGTCTCAGAGACACGATCGCCGCTACGCCCTGTCTCAGAGACACGATCGCCGCTACGCCCTGTCTCAGAGACACGATCGCCGCTACGCCCTGTCTCAGAGACACGATCGCCGCTACGCCCTGTCTCAGAGACACGATCGCCGCTACGCCCTGTCTCAGAGACACGATCGCCGCTACGCCCTGTCTCAGAGACACGATCGCCGCTACGCCCTGTCTCAGAGACACGATCGCCGCTACGCCCTGTCTCAGAGACACGATCGCCGCTACGCCCTGTCTCAGAGACACGATCGCCGCTACGCCCTGTCTCAGAGACACGATCGCCGCTACGCCCTGTCTCAGAGACACGATCGCCGCTACGCCCTGTCTCAGAGACACGATCGCCGCTACGCCCTGTCTCAGAGACACGATCGCCGCTACGCCCTGTCTCAGAGACACGATCCCCGCTACACGATCCCCGCTATGTCCTGTCTCAGAGACACAATCCCCGCTACGCCCTGTCTCAGAGACACGATCCCCGCTACACGATCCCCGCTACGTCCTGTCTCAGAGACACGATCCCCACTACGCCCTGTCTCAGAGACACGATCCCCGCTACACGATCCCCGCTACGTCCTGTCTCAGAGACACGATCCCCACTACGCCCTGTCTCAGAGACACGATCCCTGCCACACGATCTCCGCTACGCCCTGTCTCAGAGACACGATCCCGCTACGCCCTGTCTCAGAGCCACGATCCCCACTACGCCCTGTCTCAGAGACACGATCCCGCTACGCCCTGTCTCAGAGCCACGATCCCCACTACGCCCTGTCTCAGAGACACGATCCCGCTACGCCCTGTCTCAGAGCCACGATCCCCACTACGCCCTGTCTCAGAGACACGATCCCGCTACGCCCTGTCTCAGAGCCACGATCCCCACTACGCCCTGTCTCAGAGACACGATCCCGCTACGCCCTGTCTCAGAGCCACGATCCCCACTACGCCCTGTCTCAGAGACACGATCCCGCTACGCCCTGTCTCAGAGCCACGATCCCCACTACGCCCTGTCTCAGAGACACGATCCCGCTACGCCCTGTCTCAGAGCCACGATCCCCACTACGCCCTGTCTCAGAGACACGATCCCGCTACGCCCTGTCTCAGAGCCACGATCCCCACTACGCCCTGTCTCAGAGACACGATCCCGCTACGCCCTGTCTCAGAGCCACGATCCCCACTACGCCCTGTCTCAGAGACACGATCCCGCTACGCCCTGTCTCAGAGCCACGATCCCCACTACGCCCTGTCTCAGAGACACGATCCCTGCTACTCCGTCTCTGCCACACGATCCCGCTACGCCCTGTCTCTGCCACACAATCCCCGCTATGTCCCAGCTGAGAGACACGATCTCCGCTGCATCCCATCTCAGCAACACGATCCCAGCTATGTCCCATCTCTGCCGCACGATCCCCGCTATGCCACGTCTCTGCCACACGATCTCTGCTACACCCTGTCTCTGGCAGACGATCCTCACTATGTCCCATCTCTGCCACACGTTCCCCGCTACGTCCTGTTCCCCGCTACGCCCCATCTCTGCCACACGATCCCCGCTGTGAGGACGTGCCTGGGGTCAGCGAGTGCCGGTTCTTCAGGGTCTGGCCAGCGTCGCACGTGCGGCAGCCGTTTGCTGAGCTCCCTTCGCTAAGGGGCCCTTGCGAGTTCCAAAGGGCAGAAGGGCCCCGGGGCCGAGCCTGATTCAGAGGATGGGGGACGTACGAAGGACCCTTCATCCCACGCTGAATGGGAGCAGTCTCCCGGCAGGGCTGGTCCCCAGCCAGGCAGAGCCCGGCACAGGGGCAGGCTGCAGCACCCCCAGGGCCCTGACCCTCTCTTGCCCTGCACAGTGACCCGCGGGGACATGTTCGCGTTTCCCGAGGACGACTACGTGGACTACGCCACCAACACTTCCTGGAGCGAAACCACAGAGACTGGGCCCACAGCCACAGCCCCAGAGCTAGTCAGTGTGGCCACCACGGATTCGGTCACGGTGCCTGACAGCGATGCCCCTCTGCTGGTCCCCAGCGTGCTGGGGGAGCAGGAGGAGGTGGTGGAGGAGGTGCTGTGTAGTGGGCAGCCCTTCGATGCATTCACCGACCTGAAGAACGGTTCTCTCTACGCGTTCCGAGGTAGCAGCTGGCGAGGGCTGCCCATGGGCACTGGGGGGGTGGGGAGGCTGGGTCAGAGCATGGCCCAGGGCTGCATCCATCTCAGGTCGCTGCTCGGCCAGATTCTGGGAGGCAGGTGGGTCTCAGCCCAGTTCGCAGGGGTCCCTGCCATCACAGCTGACACCAGCTGGGCCTTTGACAGCCAGGACTGATTGGCCTTGGAGCCTGAGCGCCCCACACAGGCAGACCCATGCCTGGGTCATGTGCTTTGCTGTGGCTGGGGTGGGCA